CACCTTCTGAAGACCTCCCAACCCTCCAGTCCCACCCGTACCTCTCTCGGATGCCATCCTGCTCCCGGGAGCTCTTGCTGGCTGTGCTGCACGCTTGCAAAAACCGGTAAGCTGTGTCCAGCGCAGGGCTGGAGCGGTTGGGCCCCCCTGCCAGGAGATGCCCGGGAGGGAGAGTCAGTCCCAAGGCCCTCGCTCGGACCTCGAGGCAGGGGAGGGAGTTGTGGCCATTGGGGGAAGGACCAGCAAGAGGGCGCTGACCCCGGCGGGAGACTGGGAGCGGGTCCTCGAGGAGAGCCGTGCTGGTTTATGACGGTGGAAAACTGGGAGGAGCCCGCAGCACTTTTTCCGACTCACCCTTTTTATTGGGAGGCACAGGCTTTGGCGAGGCTCTGCCCACAAGCCCCCCGCCCCACTGCCGCGGTCTCCCCCCAGCACAGCTCCACTTGCTGTTGCCCTCAACTCAACCACGCGGCATCATCTGGGTGCCACGGAGAACCCTGCCCCGTGCCTTCCAGGCGGGTCTTCCAAGCTGCACGAGGAGAACTCTTTTAAGGCCTTCCCCCAAATTGCATCCTTTTCCTCTCCCCCCCTTTTTACCTTAGGGCCCTGCTATTTTAGCCCGTAACCTGAGCTCCCCAGGTCTCCCAGCCATGCGTGGAGCCTGGTGCCCAAAGAGCGGGTGTGAGAGCGACAGATGTTTAAATAACATCTGTAGAAGAAACCAAGAGGATTGAGGCAGGTTGGGTGAGCTGTCATTTTGGGCTTGTGATTGTTTCGGTGTTTTCATCCGGGCCTCAGACTGCTTTGCTGTAGTCCCCTGCAAGGATGTTGGCATGTTGTGGTCAGAAAAGTCAAGATGGCTTCAATTGCTCCATGCCAGCTGCCATCTTGTCTTTTTTGACCACACCCTGCCCCAAAGAGCTCTCTCCCTCCCCCTTCCCTGCCTCTTTTCACAGCCTTTTGGGCAGGGGTGGAAGGAGTTGGACGGGGCCCAGCCAGCTGCTGGGTGCGTGAGCGAGAGGCAGCCCCCACCGCTGGGCGGCCTCACCTGCCCAGGGCGCCCCCCCGCCCGTCTCTGTGCTCGACTCGTCCTCCGTCGCCGTCAGCGCCCACAGGGTCTCGAAGGCCTCCAGG